CTGGGGGATATTTGTAGCAATAGCCAACAATACATTGTATGGGTCACAATTATAGATTTTTCTTTTATGCCAAAAATCATTAGGATATTAAGTAAAGATCATGTTCCATTAATATATTTTGTAAATTTCCTACTGTAAATTGTGTAATATGTTACTATGTTAATATGTTACTATTAGTCATAATTCTATGATTAGTAATATGCATTGCTAAGAACTTCATTTGGACAACCTTAAAGGCAATTTTCTCAGTATTTAGATTTTTTTGCACCCTCAGATTCCAGATTTTCAAATAGTTGTATCTCGGCCAAATATAGTCCTATCCTAACAAACCATACATCAATGGAAATCTTATTTATTCTTTCATCAGCTATTCATCATTCATTCATTCTATTAATCAGCTTTCAGATTATATATAAATCTCAATTTGGAAAAATTGACACTTAAGACTGGTTTTGTGGTCCAGGGTCTCATATTGTGTATCCCTGCTAAGTTTTTTGGTTACTAGAACGCTCTAGAAACGTTAGTTTTCGGTTCCCAAAACAGTTTTTTTGGCTGGCCAGGAAACTTTACAGATGCAAAACGTTCTTTTTAGGTTCGCACAACATTCGTATTTAGTTCCCAAAAATAACCAAATGGGAGCCATATGGGAACGTTCAGCATTTGGTAAATGTCCTACCGTAAATATATCAAAACTTAATTTTTGATTAGTAATATGCATTGCTAAGAACTTAATTTGGACAACTTTAAAGATGATTTTCTCAATCCCTCAGATTCCAGATTTTCAAACAGTTGTATCTCAGTTAAATATTGTCCTAACAAACCTTATATCAATGGAAAGCTTATTTATTCAGCTTTGAGATGATGTAGAAATCTCAATTTGGAAAAATTGACACTTAAGACTGGTTTTGTGGTCCAGGGTCTCATATTGTGTATCCCTGCTAAGTTTTTTGGTTACTAGAACGCTCTAGAAACGTTAGTTTTCGGTTCCCAAAACAGTTTTTTTGGTTGGCCAGGAAACTTTACAGATGCAAAACGTTCTTTTTAGGTTCGCACAACATTCGTATTTAGTTCCCAAAAATAACCAAATGGGAGCCATATGGGAACGTTCAGCATTTGCTAGGATGCTCCTAATTAACCTCCATTAAATCGTACAAGAAGAAGATGCTCCTAATTCAACTCACCCGAGTTCCTCGCATGTTTTCACAGATCTGTCATGCTCAGCGGGAAGCGCATCGCTGATGTGGGTTATAAGCTCTTCTCGGGCTCCATGATGCTGTTGACGGTGTACGGCGGATACCTGTGCGTCCTGCGGGCTCAACGGTACATGCAGAGACAGAAACAGCTGGAGGCGCAGAATGAGAGCGCGGCCTCAGAGACCATTAAAGACTGAAGACACAGGCTGTAAATAACCACTTAACCGGACACTGATCATGTCACACGTGGCCCAGCAGAAACCCACCTGCGTTCATGACCCTCAAAGGCTTTATTTGCCTTTTTGTGGAGTTCAATGAGATCTTACGTGTTGTAATATATTAAATGTTCCTTATAAAGATCCACTATCATGTGTTTGTGCACGTCCTGTAGATCTGCAGGGTTCCCACACCTGTTAACAAATGATTTTTACCATGTTTTTCCAGGTGTGAAAATGGTTTTAAAGATTACACATGACATTTTAGAGCTGAATATGAATTTGAATTATTATATCCTAGTGTTGTTATTATTAACTACAACTACAACTATTAAAATTGTTCTTTGTTCATTAAAATAAAGCTGAAATAAAACATAAATATTACATGAAAAACTTAAATGAATCAACTAACTGAAAACCAGTTTAGGTTGAAGTTCTAAAATAGTACTACATCTTAAATATAAATTAAAACTAAATGGAAATATAAAACAAAACGACTAGATAACTAAAAATAAAAGCAAATTCTAAATATTAATAAACACTATAAGAGTTTAGAAGTATTATTAAATGAACAGTTTTATTCACCATACCAGTAGGTCTCAACTGGTTTTGCTCCAGGACCTAGATATTATATAAACATTAATTTAATTATTATTTGCATTTCGCATTTTCAATGCTTTTTAGGATCAGAAAACACCCATTTTTCTGCAGTATATAAATTTACATTTTAAAGATTTCAAAATTGACTACAAGACTGGAAACCACACTTTTAAACCCCAGACATTTCTAGGATGACCGTGGGAACCCTAAACTTATTATTTCATATGTCATATTTTATTTGTTCACAT